ATACTAAAAGACACAGTATTGTAAAACAGTAGAATATTCTGCCTGTGATGCATATCTTTGTTGTTGTATGCATTAAGGGACCAAAAACGAAGCTATTTTGTTCATTATATATTTTTTTAATGAATCGGTTATCAGAATTTGTTTCTGCCAAACTTTGGAATCGGCATCGGCCTCAAAATATCCATATTGGTCTTGCCGTAATCATGTGTCTGACATTGTTATAGCAGTGCTTTTGTACTAATTTAAGTTCTGTCTCTTCTGTTTTGCTGCCATATGTGTATGTGAATTCATCCAAGAATGTTTTTGTGGCTCAGAGTGGAATCAAAGCACATCAACAGACTGTAACCTGTAGTTCTTGTGTAGCTGTACATATGTTTGCATTTTTAACAAGGGTATTTGAAACCCTTCAAAGGCCCAGGAGGATGCGGAGAAGCTGCGTTCAGTAGTGATGCCCATGGAGCAGGAAATCGCGACGCTGAAGGCCAAACTGACCACAGCTGAGGACAGAGTGAAGGAGCTGGAGGCCTCGAAGGTTAGTCTATATAATGTATTTGTGCTTCATTCATTTGAAAAAAAATCTTTGCATTTCTATATAGAAGTATTACAGTGCAGTATTATTACTATTTTATAACATTTTGATGAAGCGTTCATGCATAAATTGGTCATTTTATTTCAGTCTAAGCAAAAAAAAGAAAGGAAATAAAATTAAAAGGCGCCTTGAATCATAAGTTGTCTGGTGGAGACAAATAGGCAACAAGTTCACTGCAAAACCTTGAGTGTTTACAGCTTGTTCTGCTGCCTTAAAGTGGCCAAAACAATCAGCTCCTAACAGAGAAGTGTCTGTTCCAGAATTTAAGCTTGAAATTAAGTAAATCTGAATTTTCTTTTACAGGTCAAGGAGCTCAATCACGTTCTTGAGGCTGAGAAGTCGTGTCGTACAGATCTGGAGATGTATGTGGCCGTGTTGAACACTCAGAAGTCTGTCCTGCAGGAGGATGCAGAAAAACTACGGAAAGAGCTCCACGATGGTACTTCCTCACACTACTTATGAAATTACAGTTGTCAGAAGTATGTCTACTATTGTCAGAAAAAAGCTCAGTTTGTTTGCTTCTTGTAGAGACTGTATGTGTGTGTCTGAATCGTGGAAACATTCACACACACTCACACACACACACACACACCGACACACACACACACACACAGAGATGTTCTCTGCTGTGTTTCTGTAAGTAAACCTCTCCTCTCTGGTTCACCTCTCTCAGTCTGTCACAAGCTGGAGTTGGAGCGGCAGCAGCACAACCAGCTAAAGCACACGTGGCAGCGAGCCAATGACCAGTTCCTGGAGTCTCAGCGCCTCCTCATGAGGGACATGCAGAGGATAGAGAGCGTGTTGTCCTCGGAGCAGCTCCGCCAAGTGGAGGAGATGAAGAAGAAGGACCAGGTACATGCAGCAGCAGTGTTGTAAAACTCTAGTTTGCTGTGTGTGGAGTGATAAGGGTGCAGCTCCAGAGAAACTGGCTTTCAGAACTTCAGTTTTCGGTCTGTGGGTTCAGCTAGAGGGTTGACAGATAATTTCGTTTTGTCTTTCCAGCTGTGAAGTGTAATCTTCTGAGAAGTGGTTACATTTGTAAGTTAACGGGTTGATATGTTGCGTGATTGGAAGGGAGAAAAGGTCTCCCGATGCTGAGGCTTAGTATGCTGTTAGCTGGTTCACAATCTTTCAAAGGAAAACAGAATAAAGCCAAAAATCGTGAAGCTGATCATCTATCAGCAGTGTGGATGTGCATCACTATTCATAGATCCATACAGGACAGTTTGGGTTTGTTGTGCACTGAGGTGTAGGATCCTGTTGCAGGTCATGCAAAGTGGGGTGTTATCATATTTCCAATTACTGCAAAACTCTTGAAAAGGGGTGAGGTTTGAACATGTTGCTTAATTCTTAATCGTTGTTGTTTTAGTGTGAATTCTGCTGGTCTTAGACTGACATTGGAGAATTGGAGGTCACTCTTTTTTCTTTTTTCCCCCCCCCAAGTTATTTTTTTGGCCTTTTTTATATAGGACAGTCAAGAGAGAGACAGGAAAGTGGGGGAGAAGAATGGGGGAAGGAATTGCAGCAAAGGGCCATGAGCGGGATTCGAACCCATGGATGCTGCGTCGGGGATTGTAGCCCCTGTACATGGGACGCCAGCTCAACCAGTTGAGCTATAGTGGCTACCCAGATGTCGCTCATTTTTGCGAGGTTTAGACACAATATATGCAAGACAGTGGCCCGACCTCAGTGATAGGGCTGGACCCAAATAGCCAAATAGCCGACTATTCATTCGCTGTGCTGGAATAGGGATATCAATTTTGATCTCAAATATCCGCCGCCACCGCACCACACCCCCAAACATTTGGGATATACGTCATTAATTTGGCCGAATATCTGGAGAACAGAAATTGCTATTCGGACCAGCCCTACTAAGTGATGTAGGGTGTTAAGACCAAAAATAAGTGTAGGGCACGACAGTTGATTCCTTTATCATTTTACCTCCATATCCATGTGAAAGTAATAATAATAATAATAATAATACATTTTATTTAATAAGGCGCCTTTCACGGCACTCAAGGTCGCCTTACAATAAAAGCAATACAACATACAATGGAACTCAGAAAAAATACAAATACAAATACAATTTAAAAAAAAAAAAACAAAAAAAAAACAAGCAGAGCAATAAAACACAGTAGATTTTGATCCAATGCCAGAGGGAGTCTTCTTCAACTCAGTAAGGCAAACTAATTAGTAGGGCAGTAGTGACCCAAAGAAGATCCTTGTTGACTAAAGTCATGGCTACTGTTCAACCAATCAATTGGTGGTGGGGAAAAAGAAAGATCTGCATGTTATGTTTAGATCAACTGAATTGGCCACAGAGAGAACTCCTACCTGCCTACCTACCCATTATCCTTACAGAATTAAAAACAATCATAAAAAAACTTGTGTTTGCAGCATGTTAGCTTATTTTAACCTGGCAATTTTATGTGACATATGGAATGATAGTAATAGACTTGGAGCAGACCAGCATACACCTACCAGTGTTCGTATAATTTCTGAATAACTGTTGATCCCAGCACAAGAGCTACTGAGAAATATGACACGGACAAGTTAGCCTGCTGTTTCTAGATGATCCGCCATGTTGAACTGTAAATGGTATTTACATAAACATCCCATAGACAAAGTGTAGCAAAATAAAAATGTAAATGTATACAATGGCTGCTTTCTTTCCTCCACAAGACTAAAAGGAAATGTATTATGGAAGCAAGATATCCTAAAATCTCAAAATGCATGAAAAATATAATTTTTTCCTCCAGTGTTTCACCTTAATTGGAGGTTGTGTGCTCTGTGTTCAAAACCAGAAATGTAAACCTGTGGGAAGTCATGTTTGTAAAGTGAGTGAACAAAGGAGCTCAATGTAGTTCAGTTCAGTTCACAAAGACCTCAGCTGTAAACATATAGTCAGAGTTTACGTACGAGATGATGTCAATAAATCTCTGAAAATGCAGAATTTGTGGCTGAGCTGTTGTGTGGTTGGAGTTACATTGCATGTGTATCTACTAAAGTGTCCTGAGTGTAAATCGAAGTTTAGTAGATGAAGAAATGTGTGACAAATAAGGATTAAACATGTTTTTTTTTCCTCCACTGCAGGAGGAAGATGAGAAAGAAAGGCTGAGCCAAGTGAAGGACCTGCAGGAGGACGATGGAGGAGACAACACAGAGCCTCTGGAGGACCTTTTACTCGGGCTGAGCGTTGAGGAGGTACGAAAGTCTTGTAATCAGATACCTCCCTCAGAGAGAACAGAGCAGCCTGTTGTTATATTACGTCATATTATATTCCCTTTGAGTAATGTGATCTTCACCTTCACTTTTGTCCTTGTGTGTTGTGCAGCAGCCCTGTGCTGAAAGCTGCACAGTCTGAAAAATGTGTTTTTGTGTCATTCAGAAGTAAAAGATTTATGTTTCTTGCTGTTTTGTCTTCATCTCTTAGTAGCTGTGATTTCACACAAAGCTGCTTCTTTTGTTTAGAAGCTCAGTGGGAGAGGAAATGTTGGCACTTTTTCAATAACATAATATAAAAGGGGGTTTTTGGTTTAACTTGTCAAATCTCAGTACACAGTTTTATTGTCATAAATAACACAAAATATTCCGAAAGAAGTTTTGAATCCTGATGAAAATATGCTTTCCTCTCTGACCCGTTCCGAATGTAAATGCATTACCACTGTCAGTTTATTCCTGACTTTGACTAAATTTGGTGGTCTTTCACTTTGTGGGATCATGATGACTAATAAAATCTGTTTCTGGATTTGAGAAATTTTGGTTGCAGTTTGAACAGTTCCCCAGTCTGATTCCCCTCCTGGCTGTTGTCCAAAAGATCTGTTAGACGGCAGTGAGCGGGATTAGAAACTGGATTATTGTTCGGCTGTTTTTATTAGACAGTCACGGGAGACACAGACAGAAAATGTGGAGAAAGAGAGCAAAAGTGACATATTTTAAAGGTCTCTGCTGTGTGGCCGCCTGACCTGGATTTAATATTGGAATAATATTTAACATATTGGGACCTCAGTGGTCTTGATAGACACTGCTGTGGTAGCAATGAAACTTATCTTGCAGAATATTTGTATAAAGACACAATAATGTCCTGTCTTCTATAGCTCCACATTGTTCTTCTGCATTTCTCTTTTTGTTTTCATGTAACGATCGTCTGTCTGTTGACTCTGTGTGAGACAAGATTAATTTTGGCTTTGTAAAAAACTCAATTAATGGTTGAGTCATGTTTAGTTTCAACACGTTTAGTTTTGTGCTTGACTGTATTTCCTCTCTTTGCAGTAGAGGTCAACCAATGTGGGTTTTTTCAGAGCTTTGTTTACACCTGCATTGTTTATATTCTTGTTTCTTTGCTTGCAGTTTATTTTTCCGTGCTATTTTGTTGTCTTTGGTGTATTGCCACAATTATAGATTAGAATTATGTTCCACCACTGACAGGAATGTGTGTCTGTGTGCACTGGAGTAACTGGGATCCATTCATAAAATAAGTCCTGCATAGAGTGTTTGACCACTAGTACTTTTAAAACATGTGCTGCAGGTTAACACAACATACAAGATTATTAAAAACACAACGTGTCTACTCAGTTATTGTTATTCAGCCAAAGTGTTTTGCAATAAAGAAAAATAAGAAATACTGATAAATTAATGATACATTATCAATTTATTGTGTTATTTTTAAGTTATGTTTGCCCACTGTGCACCTGCAGCAATCTAAAGCTGGACTCACTTTGATCATTAGGGCGAATCAGACTTTGAACTAAATCTCCTTTTACTTCCAACTGTTCCTGGTTTAGTTGACTGAAATGCTTTAATTCAAGTTTTATTAGTTTACTAGCATTGCCTTTTATTATTTTTATTGTTATTGTCATCCAAGTTGCTTATCTGTGTGCTTGCTTCTTATATTTTTAGTACTCAGCCACATTGTAAATGAGGCCCCTTTACCTCACTGTACTCTGAGTTTTGATAGAAATTGAATGAATGAATATAAATTTAGCTAAGTGATTAAAATCTTAAGGTTAAGACCCTAAAACAATATATGCAAATTATATTTATTCTTCTCTTCTCAAGAGTTAATTAATTGTGAAACTGTAAAAGGAGGTTTTGTTGCTTTTTCAGGCTTTATAGTGGCACCTTGTTTATAATTTTCCCTCTTTTTCTTCCAGCCTCACGCCAACCATAGTGCCCACGGCTCTATGCACTCCTTAGACACTGAGGTGGTGGCGGGCGGCCCCTCGGACCCCTACAAGGAAAACCTGCGGAGAGTCCAGTCAACGGACAGCCTCGGCTCCTCGCTGTCTGCCCAGCAAGGCCTCGGCGGCCACAACCACAAGGCCAAGTCGGCCAGCCACTTGGACGAGTCGGACTTTGGGCCTCTGGTGGGGGCCGACTGCGGCGTGACAGACAGTAGTTTTGGCGAGACTTCGTCCATCAGCTCAATCAAGCTGACGGCGAGTCACTTCCTGCTGACTAAGGACCAGGAGAAGGCGATCAAAGCCATGACGCCCGAGCAGGAGGAGACAGCATCGCTGCTGTCCAGCATCTCTCACGCCCCCGACACAGCGTATTTGCCGCCCGCAGGCTACCGACTCGTCAGCGACAGCGAGTGGAACCTGCTGCAGCAAGAGGTGAATCACCGCACAGCTTCAACAGTCTGAACGCTGCAAGGGCTGAATGTGGTTAAAACCTATTAATGGTTATGACAGGACATTATATTTTACAGCTCTGGGTAGGGTTCAAGCTTTTACTGCTTTATCTCCTGGCAAAATTTTGGTCTTGGCACAAATTATGTTTCATCTTAATATCAGAGCAGCAGATAATCAGTCATAAAGTGGTGTTTATTGTGGGCGGATTTCTTGACTGTTCTTTCATACGTGTTTGTTAAATTTCATATTTCTGGAAAAAGCAGAATATTTTTCTTACTTTTTTTTTTCTTTTACAGCAAATGTTTTTAACAGTCAAAGCAGGTCTATGTAAGTGATCTAAATGAGGTTATTAATGTGTGCAGTGCCAGGGAAAGAAAATCCATCACATGCATCCATTTCTGGGTGATATTTTGATAATTGGAGGAAGAGGTGCATGTTGTGAGATTAATCTTTAGCATTTGATGCTTCATCTTTTGCAAATACCTCTCTTAAGTCAGCTATAATGCTCTGATTTAGTGTATAGTGTGTTTAGTTTAGGCCACTTGTTGAACTGTCTGCATAGTTAGAGATTTTGTCTCCAGCTGCCGTTTTAGCGTGAAAAATAATTGGAAAATAGAGCTGGAGGTGGAAAGCTGTTCAAGTCTACTGCAGAAACGAGAGTTTAAAGTCAGACTGCAGTGGTTGGCTGCAGGCTGTAATGAGATTTGGTGATGGCATCTTTGTTTTATTATATAATATCCTTCAGTTTACAGCCACACCAGTGCACAAAGACACTCGAACACATGTGCTGCAGGTATTTCTGAAGGAAAAATTCCAGGTTTTAGTGATAATTTCAAGGAAAAACGTCGTAAAAGAAAACTAACACCACCTTTTGACCGATCTATTAATATCAAAATGTCACAATCAGTTTTTTATGTTTTATGGATTGTTTTCAGTTTGCATACATAAAGTAGAAAAAAAAAAAAACATTAAAATTTGCAGCACAATATTGCATTATATTAGGTGTTATATTATAATGTGTTGCATGGTTTTCTTGCTGTTCTGCCACCAGGTGAAAAATGCAGGCAGGAAGCTCGGTCGACGCTGTGATATGTGTTCTAACTACGAGAAGCAGCTGCAGGCAATTCAAGGGCAGGAGGCTGAGACTCGAGATCAGGTTTGTGTCTTTAAAGTCTTGCTGTTACTTTCTGTCTACGGGAGTCTTTGCTGACATGAAAAAGCAGAAAATGTTAATTGGAGCGGTTCTCCATCATGCTCTCTTCCAGGTGAAGAAGCTGCAGGTGATGCTGCGGCAGGCCAACGATCAGATGGAAAGGGCGATGACTGAGAAACAAAACCTGGAAGATTCAGTCAAAGTCGGCAACGAGGAAACTGCTGCTAAGGTATGGACATGATGAATGTAACAGTAGATGATTATCTTGCCTCGTTTCTCTGTAGACATCTAGTTTACTGCTTCACTGACGGGTAGATTTAAAGGCTTAAAACCTGCACATTTCATTCCAGTATGTTACTCTCAAATTAGAGTTTGTAGGATAGTAATTATATGTAGTATATGTAATTACGCAATTGCATTGTTTCATATTTTTATTTCAAAATCAAATAGTTGCTCAGCTGTACAGAACAAAAATACCCAAAATACAAATTTACTGTCTTTAATCATAGGAAAAGTAGCAAAACCTCACATTTGAGAAGTTAAAACCAATGAATTTTGTCATTTTTGCTTGAACCATTACTGAAACCATTAATTGATCAGCTGTAAATTTGAAGCAGGAAGGCAGAATAAAGTTCTATGATTAATAAAAGACTGTCCTTTAAACTTTCCCCTCCCTTAACATTCATCTGAATGCAGCAGGTGTGTCAGCAGTCTCTAATTTAAATGACTTGTTGTATTGCGAAAGTGTTTAGTGGTTACCTTTATTGTTTTTGTTTTTTTTTAGCAACTAGAGGGAGGGTAATTGCAATATAAACACACAAACTTCTCTTATTCTTGTGGTAGTCAAGAAGGCTGGTTGTATCTCTAGAATGTCAGTGTTTCAGAGACACAACATTTAAACACAACTTAAAAGTGTGTCTCACGTGTACGTCACTCAGGAATTTCCATTCCCACCAGTCCTCTCTAATTAACAGCAGATTACCGCGGCAACAGCAGCCTGAGTCATCATCTTTCTATTCCAGCAGGTCTGACAAAACTAGTGCCTGCAGCACTTCCTGTTTTCAGTTTTCCTGTGGGTGCAGTGATCAGCGGAGCCACGACTCTTCACACGACCATGCTGCTTTAATCTTACACTACTGTGACAAGAAACAACGATTTAATGAGAAAGTGTTTGCTGTTGATGGTCAACAGGACTGTTAGTGTTGACGTTATTCTCGCATGTAAACACAGAAAGTCTGCAACAGAGGATTGCTTTCATCATTTATGACCCGATAAATCATTGTTTCATTTATAAAATGTCAGAAAATGCCCTACATATTGTCCTGAAGTCCAAGGTGGCATCTTCCCATGCCACACGATTGCTTAAAAATTACTGCAGTCATTTATTAAGAAAGCACATTACTGACAAATTGTGTCAACTTTAAATCTAGGTAAATTTAATACAACTGCACACTAAAATCCTCTTCCTTACCTTAGTTTCACTTATATTGACTTTGCTTGTATGAGATGAGTTAAACAGTTCAACAACTGGAATGTGTATTCTGTAATTCTGGATATTTAATGGGAGACGTCTGAGAAGTATGAGATTAATTAGTAATTGTTTTATTGTCATTATATTGACGTCAGACAGCAATATAAGGACATTTATATAGAGCTTCTGAGGCATTAGAACAGTTAGAACAATTTGAAAAAAAACACAATTTAAGACAAACAAAACAGAATTAAATAGGTGCAATGTAAAAGTACTAATAATGTGGTTTTTAGCACGGTCTTTGAAGTTTGATGATTAAAAAAAACTATAACAGATTAACAAGAACAAATCAATATTTCAAGTAGAGTATTATTTTATGTCTTAAAACATATCTGGAGGGCATCTTTAATTATGCTTTCATGTTTAATCTTTTGATCTGCTCTAGTTGTTGATTATAGTGATTTCCCCCCAAATGACACATCTTGATAGAAAACACTGGTCTGCTGGACTTCCAATATGTCCAAAACTGTGAATTAAGCCTACAAAGAGATATTGTTCATTCTGGCAGAACAACACAATAGCTCTGTATTTTCCTCCCGTGAAAACCTTTTCCAGGCTCTGCTTCGTTACCAAACTGCCAGCAACATAATGGGACAAGAGCTGCTTTTAAGTGCGATGAGAGGAGCTGATGTGATTGGCCTTCCTTGTTAATAGTCCCCAGCAAACTGCTAACATGTCCACAGATAATGTGTGATAATGGATTCTTCCTTATCCAGCCTGAGCGGGTGCAGCACAGGCCTCCAGCAAAGTAAAACCACAAAAGTGTGCCGTTGCAGTGAGCCATCAGTCATGACAACACAGGCCAGTTTCTGCCTACGGTATGAAGGTGTTTTCCAGGGTTTACTTCTAAAAACTACAGTGCGTGGGAATTCAGTTCTCTCACCAGCAGGAATAAGGAAAATACTTTTTTTTTTTTCTAAATCCTCCTTTTTAGATCTGATAAAAAGCTGCGAGGATGCCGCAGTGCAGCTGAGAGCAGTTTTGTCAGTTCTGTGGTGTCACAACAAAAAATACATCTCAGTTTCTGCTCAGCAATCTCTGATTTACCTGAAGTGTTTATGGCATCCAATTTAAATATTTATAAAGGTATTTTTGAAGTTTTAGCTTGATGTATCAGATACTCCTTTATTGCTTGCTGACCCACTTTAAGCCTGTTTTTTTTTTTTTTCCCACACATTGATTATATGTTTGAGCAACAATATCTTAGGAACTTTTAAAGATAAAAGCCAGAAATTTTCACTTGTTTCTCAACATGTCGTTGATTCTGAATCTGAAACATTTGACAAATAAATCAAACAGGGTCTAATTATGGGTGAGTTGAAATACGAAAAAAAAAGTTAAAAGAAAAAGTTCTGTCTTTCAGCACACATTATTATTATTATTATTATTATTA